GTGTGTGTGTGTGTGTGTGTGTGTGTGTGTGTGTGTGTTTTTCCTCTGTCTGCGCTGATCAGCTGGAAGCATTTATTTTCCTTTTCAACTGGCTGACGTCAAACGCAAAAGCGTGCTGCTTACCCAAAACCATCAAAAAACTGTAGGATTGAACGTGCTTCGTGTGGTTGGAACCTGGGATCACACTTCAGCCGAACCTTTGATCAGAACCACAGRAGGRGTGCCGCTGGAGAAGGGTGGAGTTTTGCTCCTCCAATTGRYTCCTTCCACGCAAAGCATTGTGGGAGGTGTCTCTTAATTTCAGAACCGTCACGCAGGACAGTATGTTACAGAATAAAGCTCTGTGTTATTTCATCAAATGTCTGAGAGTGCGATGTTTCAGTACTGTTTTCACATGGTGTTGGTCACTGACAGCACACCCTCTCTGCTGTTCAAGCAAACAATAAACTCCTTGGGGAAGTTTCTTAACTGTAATATCAGATAATGTTCTGCCCCAGTTTTAAAATTATGATAATGGATAAAATAAGGAGAAAATTTTAGCTTAGCGGTTTTCAATTATAAAATTAGAAAGCGCAAATCCGCAAYCAGCTAGAAAAAATTAGTAAAAGCCCGAAAGCGCAAACAAGAAATTTAGGTCCGCTATTAGTGGATTTGCGCATTAGGGGACTAGTGCCCACCACTGCCTACTGTGAAGCATGGGGGTGGCAACATCACGTTTAGGGCTGTTTCTCTGCAAAGGGACCAGGATGACTAATCTGTGTACATGAAAGAATGAATGGGGCCATGTATCGTGAGATTTTGAGTTCAAACCTCCTTCCATCAGCAAGGGCATTGGAAGATGAAGCGTGGCTGGGTCTTTCAGCGTGACAATGATCCCAAGCACACTGCCAGGGCAACGAAGAAGTGGCTTCATAAGAAGCATTTCAAGGTCCTGAAGTGGCCTAGCCAGTCTCCAGATCTCAACCACATAGAAAACTTTTGGAGGGAGGTGAAAATCTGTGTTGACCAGTGACAGCCCCAAAACATCACTGCTCTAGAGGAGATCTGCATGGAGGAATGGGCCAACATACCAGCAACAGTGTGTGCCAACCTTGTGAAGACTTACAGAAAACCTTTGACTTCTGTCAACTGCCAACAAAGGATATATAACAAAGTTACTGAGATTAACTTTTGTTATTGACCAAATAATATTTCCACCACAATTTGCAAATAAATTCTTAGAAATTCAGACCATGAGATTTTCTAGATATGCTTTCTCATTTTGTCTCATAGTTGAGGTCTATGATGTCAATTACAGGCCTCTCTCATCTTTTTAAGTGGGAGAACTTGAACAATTGGTGGCTGATTAAACAKTTTTTTACCCACTGTAGTTGTCTATCTTAAGTGTGTGTTCCATGTGTAGTTCACTACTCGAAAAAACAGTTTCTTGTTGCTGTTACCTGTAAACCAGTAGAGGTTGTAGAGTTCACATTCCAGGAGGGTGAAAGTGAACCAGCTACGTTTGGATCAGTCAGGTGGGAAAATGAGAGCCTCAGCAGCACACTCTGCATCATCTTCCTCATCTTCCTCTGGAATGTTCTCAGGCTCCCAGGTGAAGACATCTGAGGCATTGTCCGTAAACGAGCCGGATGCACTCCGTATGATCTCCCATGGACACAAAGCATCACGACGACCCAAGGCTAAGCTTGATTTAGCTTCATCTGCCTGCTCTGTGCTCACATCTCCCAGAGTCTCATTTACGCTGAGTGGCCTCTGGGTTTCTGTGACTTCATATTTGTTACTGTTTGAAACTAAAATGTTTTCTGCTCCATTGGTGTGAATTTCTTTGCTCTCAAGGGAGCATACATTTTCTTCATCTTGTTCTTCTTCTGTTGCATCTTTATGGTCTATTGTTTCTGACAGACCTGCTTGACTACTTTCTTGGTTTTGGGGCATTTTTGGGTCCTCTGTCTCCCACAGACAAATGTCTCCTCTTGTACTGTCTTGATTTTTGAACACTTTAGTTTCTTCCTTCTCCCATGGGCAAACACATTCATTGATGCCATCTTGTTTTTTTGCAACATCTGTCAGAGCACTGTCTTTCTTTTTGAGGGCTCTTGGTTCTCCAGTCTCCCATGGACAAACATCTGTCAGAGCACTGTCTTTCTTTTTGAGGGCTCTTGGTTCTTCAGTCTCCCATGGACAAACATCTGTCAGAGCACTGTCTTTCTTTTTGAGGGCTCTTGGTTCTTCAGTCTCCCATGGACAAACATCTGTCAGAGCACTGTCTTTCTTTTTGAGGGCTCTTGGTTCTTTCCATGGACAAACATCTGTCAGAGCACTGTCTTTCTTTTTGAGAGGATTGGGTTCTTTCGTCTCCCATGGACAAACATCTGTCAGAGCGCTGTCTTTCTTTTTGAGGGTTCTTGGTTCTTCAGTCTCCCATGGACAAACATCTGTCAGAGTACTGTCTTTCTTTTTGAGGGCTCTTGGTTCTTCCCATGGACAAACATCTGTCAGAGCACTGTCTTTCTTTTTGAGAGGATTGGGTTCTTTCGTCTCCCATGGACAAACATCTGCCTGACTACTGTCTTCCTCTTTTAGAACTTTTGTGGTGGAAGTGTCAGATGGCTGTGCTTCTTTCACTTGAAGTACCTCAGATGCATTTGTCTCCCATGGACAAATGTCTGATAGTTGTTTTTGCCCTTGTGACACCATTTTGGTAGCTGCATTTTGTTCATGATGCTCAATTTTCCAGGGACACACTCTTGCACTTTCTGTCTCTTGAGTTTGTCCGGATGCAACTTTTGCTGACACATCTGGTTTCCTTTTATTTCTAGTTTCCCAAGGACAAATGTCTACTTTAGCTGTCATTTCCAATGATAAGTCTGCATTTGTAAATTCTTTGCTACCCTTTTCCCATGGAAAAACATTTTCCATAGTTTTAGGTGGATCAGGAAAATCCCATGGACAGCCTTCAGTTGCTTTGGACAGCTGTCCTCTCTGATTTAAGACAGGAGACATTGTGTTGTATGATGCGTCATTGCTTAAAACCTCTCTGGACGAACCAGGATAGATGGTAGATTTCATAACTTCTTGATGAAGAGGTACAGCCAGTGAGTCTTTGGTGTCTAGAGGATTTAGGTTTTCATATACAACTTCAGCTTTGTCTTGAACATCCCATGGACAAACACTGGCATATTCACTGTCTTGTCTTATTGAAATTTGAGGAGTTTCTGCAGCTTCCCAAGGACATGCGCTCTCTACTTGCTTCATGGATTGTTGAGTCTGTGGATCTTTTAACAGGGTGGTTGGCGACGTGACAGAAATATCTTGCGATTCCCATGGACGCACTTGACCCCGACCAATTTCTTGCATCCTTAGTTTCCCTTGTTCTTGTGATTCCCATGGACAGACATTAGATCGTTCTGATACCTGCAATTCTTGGGAGCAACTGTTTGCTATGGTGTTTTGGTCTTTCTTTGGTTCACCACCCCCATCCCAAGAACAGGTATCTGTGTAAGTTACATTACAGGCTGGTCTAATTCGATTACTACCCCTTCTACGAGTTGAAGGGGTTCTAGAGCTGCTAGCAGTCTCCCAGGAACTAATGCTACTACGTTTGCTGCTCTGTCTTGATAAAAATACATGTTCATAGTTACCATCTTTTTGTATATCATCAGTATTGCCCGGGCAAATGCCAGATTTTACTATCACAAGTCTTCGTGGGCTTCGATCCGAAGAATCAGTAGAAGACAGTCTGACRGCATTCTGCTTCACAAGGCAGGGTTTACCCTCTGTGGTTGACATACTTCTTTTCTGAAATGATCTAATTTCTATGCTTGGACGTCTACTAGATGTCCCAGACCTTGGTGTTGTGGATGTACTTTCATGGCTTTTTTGTGAACTAGAATCTTCTCTATTTAAATTTTCATCTTTGGACTTGCTGCTATCCATGGATGTCATAAATGATCTTACATGCAGCCACTTATTAGTTGTGGTGCGGAAGGAGAAAACACGCTGATCCTTTGCCACCTTTGGTCTTGGAGAGCCTGGTGCACTTGCAGACACTGTAACAGGTGTTTTTGAGGACACGCTGGCAGCTTGTGGTCCTTTTTCCACTGAAGAAGACTTTTCCAACATTGGTAAATGGTCCCAGGGACAGACAAGCATTTGGGGGGAAGCTGGGCCGTTTTCTTCAATATCCTTGGAGCTTGCATATGTGACATGCTTTTGGTTCTTTTCCTCTGGTTGTTCTGGTTCCACTTCCCAAGGACAGATCTCAGCCTTGTCAAATGACTCAGACTGGAGAGCACTCCTGGTTTGGTCACTTATGGAAATGCTCTGCCTGGACCGCATTGTGTTTGACCTGGATACTTTTGGTATGTTCTCTATAGAATGGGTGGTAGAGGAGCTTAGGCTCCAGGATTTATGAAGCCTGGTGTGATCAGGATGCAAGAGGTTAGTATCAATTGTTAAATTGTGAGCACTGGCTGACTTACAGACCCCTGGTGGAATGTCCAATGAATCTGTCTCAGAACGCTGGGAGGACCTCTTCACAGAATTGGCCTTTAATMTGAATTCACGAAATGAAGAGCCTCTTTCTCTGAAATAGTGATGATCACTTTGGGACTTGCGTATGGATGGTGATGGTGATTTTATTGAACTTCGGTAACTGATACTTATGGTATCTGGGGACCTCCTAAAAGAGTCATAGTGACTCCCACGTCTGCTGCAGAAAGATCCATCTCTCTCTTCACGGCTGCACTGCCGGCTCACAMTTTCTGGGAACTCAGCAATGCGTTTTATAAGCGATCTCCCCAGTGCACATCGAGAACTGCGCTTTTTTGACAGATGAGGGTTGTTTGCTGTCATCTTCTTTGTCTTGTGTACTTCTAACTGAGCATACAACTTCTTTAGTTCATCCTGATACATATAAAATATAAGGAAATGACAGAATTGAGCAGTGAGTTTATGTAACAAAGATGAAAATACAGTAAAGATGTCAGAGGAAAGGTTGGAAACATATTTATGTCAAGATAACTAAATAAAATGAATTATAGCCCATTTAAGATCTGGTTAAGGGAGTCTTTTTAAACATTAATAATTTAAATGTGTTCTTTGAGGTATATATATATTTTCAGATATTGTAAATTAGGTCCCAATTTAAACTGACTGCTTTTTAAAGTGGACAAAAGTTTTTACCCGGAAGTCATCTGGATCCATGCTGCGCTCACTCCAAGCAGAGCGGAAGCTGCTGTTAAGGCATGAAGCAGAGCGTTGCAGATCCACTTCATCTTCATACACCTCTGTTGCTACCTCCTCTCTCGCAGGTTTAGATGCATGGATGAACTGCAGAACATTTCCAAAAGTGAAAAACTACAGTGARATGAAAAAGTGTTTGCCCCCTCCTCATTTGCTGTTTTTTTGCATGTTTGTCACACTTAAGTGTTTCGGAACATCAAACCAATTTAAACAATATTCAAGGACAACACAAGTAATCACAAAATGCAATTTGTAAATGAAGGTGTTTATTATTAAAGGAGAAAAAAATCCAAACCATCATGGCCCTGTGTGAAAAAGTGATTGCCCCCTTGTTAAAATATACTAT